AACACATTTGAATTGATTTTCCCTGCAAAACATTTTCTAGGCAAATCTTTTCCCTGTAAAACATTTTATTTCCACCCATTTTCCACCCTTGCAATCAAACGCACCCTAATTTTAAAAAAAAAAAACCAAAACAAATGGGCCCTCAGAAATTCTGGGCCTGAGGCGGCTGTCTCTTGGGCCTCCCCTCAGGTCCTGCTCTGCGTAAGACACCCAACATTTCAAACCATTTAAGCCAATTAGTTTTATAATTACCCTAATGTTATTAGTAACAATTGTAAATTTACAGAAAATAAAATTTAATATATTTGGCCCTGGGACAAATATTTTCCCCTTGAAAGGAAAAGAAACTTGTTTGCCCTGCCAAATTTGATTACAAGCAGAAGATAACATTACATCCACTAGGCTTTTTTTACTTTTCAATATCTTCCAGGAGGATTTTGCTATGCCATGTACAAAAACTACTGCAGCTTAGAAAAACTTCACCAGGCATGAGTTGCCTTAGTCACACCAAGAGTAACAGCAATAAGAGCAAGAGTTGCCTGCAGTAACAAACCAACGAGATAAGTTTCATTGACACAAGTCGAGCAAATGGTAACATGGAATGTGCTCTTATAATGCAAGTTTAAGTAAATTTTCATGCTGATGAATCTAAGCAGAGACACAAAATCACATGTATAGAACATCTTAATTGGACTGTTCTTAAGCCAAAAACCTACACTTGAGCAAAAATTGGCCCAAACTCTGGCAAGATCTAATAACTAGGTTTACTAACTCCTATTCGCAGCCTACCTGGAACCAGTTATTCCTTCTTCTTCTTTTTTTTTTTTTATCTTTTTTAGTTATTATACGACGTCCATGAATAATTTTTCCGCAAACATATAAGCAAAAGCCCAAATCTTGGCCAATTCCCAATTTTATCCTATTCTCAAACAGTGAAAGCAATTCTTCATTTGCCTTTTAGATCATCTATATTCTCCTTGTGCTTCTTATCTTTCAATCAATAAAATAATCACTTAGAAATAGAGTTAAAATGTGATCACTATGTTGGTGGCTTCAACACACACAAGTGACACAACAATTTCTGATACTCTAACAAAAAAGTTAACTAAAATAAATGGTACAAGTACATTAAGCCCCTGTTTGACAACCATTAATTGTGGAAAAAAAAGTTTTGAATAGTTTTTTTTATTTATGAGTGCGTAGTTAAAAAGTAGAGAAAAATTTTGGATTTATGTGAAGAATATTTTATTGGATGCATGTATGGTTGAAACTGAGTAAAAAGAGTGAAAAAATAATGGTTGTCAAACAGGGGAAGTGTCTAACAATACTTGTACAGTATACGGGGGACCTACTAGTGTAATTACTAATTTCCACGGAGTAGACATCTCTCTTCACCATCCAATCTGTCAGTGCTGGGCCCAGTAGACACTTCTTTAATGCATCTTATCTACACCACATTCCTTAATGAAAGAATTTATACTTAATGCATCTCTAGTTAATGACGATAGGTATGATGTGAGAAAGCTAACACAATCAAGAATCATAAAAATTAATACTTCGAAGTAGTGAGTGCAGTCATCATGAAAAACTTAAGAAGATTATATGATTAACAAATTGTCAGCAAATAAGCAGTAGTAATCCCTTTTTTTCTTCAGTTAATTAATTGACCAGACAATGGACCAGTAGTAACCCTACAATCATTTCAGACTTCAGAAAGAGAAATCACGTTAGGGGATGAACACTTACGGCCAGAGTGCACACAATAAGTCCAGGTTTTTCTCTGTAATCCACCCGAACGCATAACAGTATAAAAGCTCCAATGTACCAGGGAATAGCGCCGAGTACAAAGCCAATTATAAACCTTGAAAATAAATTCAGATAAAATCAGTCAATAATTCACATTTTACAAGAGTACTTCAATACTTCCACTTGATCAACCACTTTTCTTAATAGATTGAATCATTATTTCCTCAACCATAACCATGTTTATCTTTCCTTTACATCATTTTATCTGGTACCTTGGTGCCAATTGATGCCCATAAACTGAACCCCACATGCAGGAAAATTGACTAGACAACAGAAGCATAAAAATTGAACTCCATTTAAATGCTAATCTAGCAAACAGCTCTTATAGTGGAATATCAATAACTATCTGAAGAGTTTATGATGACATGTATCCCAAAATAAAGAGAGGGAAATCATTGGTCAAAGGACTGTAGAACTGAGAATAGTACTTACAAGAACCATCCCATCCCCAAACCACAACAAGGAAGCCTATGTTCTCTAAAGGGCCGACCTTCAGCAACAGCATAACCTGGCATAGCAAGAATTAAAAGGGTGTTAAAAGCAACTGCAAAACATAAAATGATAATCCTCTAAAGAAGTGCACATGGAACAGCATATATGAACAGTATTAGCTTTCCATTATGTCCATTGTCCAATAACATTCATATTCGAATAACTTTTGAATGATCTTTAAAACTATGTCACCTTGCCAGCATAGACAAACATAAAAACCGATAAAGCAGTGCATAAGGAAAATACCAATGTCAACAAGTTAGAATCAATACAACTAGTCCAAATTATCATTCTTGATTTCCTAACTTTAGCGTGGTAATTAGGGCGGAATATAGTACATTGAAGATTTTGATAATGTGATTCAGTGAATTGAACACAAAATTCCTTCTTAATCTCTTTTTCTTGTGCTTTCAATATCACCTGCAGATTAACTACTTTTCAACAATAAATAACAGAAACAAAGAAAAAGGCTATATAAAAAGTGTAATAAAGTGGAATTACAAAAGACATAACATTTTGAGGCGAAGCCAATGGTGCCAAGGAACGTGTGTGGAATGAAAAATTGAAAGAAAAACAGACTAGGTATTTGTCTTTTCATGATGCAAGTATCTAATGTATCAACTTGAAGAACAAACTAAAAGAACAACAACAACAAACTAGGGATTTATCTTTTCGTGATGCAACCAATCAATTATCAACTTTTACAGGTATTTTCTTCATAAACGTCAATTAGATTAACAAAACTAAACTTAAAAAAGGGAATTTTAATTCAATCAATAGCAACAAAATAAACATTCGCTTGTTACTTGAATTTTTTATTTTCCGTTGGTCAATATTTTTTTTTATTCAATTAAGGTATTCTAAATCTCATCGGTATATACATCAGGATATCATATAAAAGTTTCTAATTCAGTCAAGAGTACCCGGAACAGCTTGATATCCATGAGGATAGTAATGAGGCGGAACGCCGGAGAGGCCAGCAGGAGGCATGGGCTGAGGGAAACCGATGACATGGTTAGACGGTGGAGGAGGAGAGACGGCAGGTTGAGGTGGATAGTTTGCCACACCTTGGAAGGTTCCGTAATAATTGGGCGGAGGAGGCGGGGGCTGCTCTCCGGCTGCCGTCGCGACGCCTCGGTTCTTCCCCCCGCTATCTTCAGTCATCCTTGCTATTACGTACGAATCGACAATTCGGATCGGAAGGGGTTGGGGTTCCGGAGTTCAAAGCTACGTCGTTTTATTATTTGATCGAGGACCGAATCCAAATTCAAAGCCTGTTGGCTGATTAGTGATTACCTGTGTGAAACGTGGGTACCTTCGTTGTTAAGTTTTGAGTGGACCGACACCCTCCTTGTAGTTATCCAATAAATTAGAGCCCGTTTGGTACACATTAAAATGAGAGAATGTATTTTTTGAAGTGATGTGATAGAGAATATGTGGTTGAAAAAGAAAGAAAAGTTATTAATGTGATGGAAAATATTATTTTATTGAAAAATGTGTGATTGAAAATGAGTAGAAGAATGAGAATGAAATTTTTAATGCAGCTCAAACATGGGCTATATAACGATTTTTCATCTGAAATGAGAGTTGGTACNAAGTTTACAGAAAAATTGATTTTAATACTCACCAAACAGGACGTAATAAGTTTGGTGTATCTATTTAGGCCCTGTTTGGTACACATTATTTTTTTCATTCTCATTTTTCTACTCATTTTCAACAACATATTTTTCAATAAAATAATATTTTACATCACATCAATAACTTTTCTTTCATTTTTAATCATACATTCTCCATTAATCTACTATTCAATAATACATTCTTTCAAAAGAATGTATCCCAAATACACTCTTAATAAATTAATAGGTAACAATTAGTAGAATTAAGCTCTTTATATAAATAAAATCATGGGCGGATATAGGGGTGGGCCTTGTCCAAGCCCAGCCTCTGAAAAAAATTTTGGTTAAAGCCAATTGTCCTAGTCCATTTGAAAAATTGAATGCAAAAGCCCAGCCTCTGAAAAAAAAAATTGGTTAAAACTCAATTGTCCTAGCCCATTAGAAAAATTGAAAGCCCAATTTGCAA